GTGAAAACTGTGCTAATTATTGAGACACAATAATGGCTGCATTTTAAACATCCCTACTCAAATAGCTGTTATCTGCCACTGAATATAATGAATGTTGTTCATCTGAAGAACAAACTTCACAGAATGTTTTATGTCCTGAAGCCTCAAAAAAAAGTTCAGAAATAGCAAAAATAGTATTAACCAAAGAAAATGTGCAATATGCATAAGTTCTACACCAAGAAACGGGCATAAGTTCTACACCAAGAAACGGGTAGCAAGGCAATGTGGTTGAGAAGCTTGGTTTCCAAACAGCTGTACATCCTGTCTGACGCCCTCTAGTGTCCAAAGAAGGAGACAATGATTAGCGTCAGTAAAGAGGTACATCAAGTTCCTACACAGTGAGAAATGCTGGGTTTTAACATCTCAAAGCTAGAAAAAATAGTAACACTCCCCACTTCTGCTCCCTGGACATTTTTGGGCTAGCTGTTTGTATAGAAAATAAAAAAGTAGTGATCCTAGTGTCCCTATTCTTTCCTTACACATGCTTTTAAGTTACCAAGGGCTCAACATGTGCTGATTGGCAGAATAAAGATCTTCTCACTCAGGGGGTATCTACCATATACCATAATCCTCCCTTTGAGTGATGTGAACATACATACACAAGTAGAAATGTACCTTAGATCTTGTCAGTTCTCAATAACAAACAAAAGAAACCGCCCTATTAAATCAACTCCTTTCCACTCTGCCACGTTCTTAAAATAATTTCTTACCATGAGCAGCATTATATTAGCGAGCTAGAGGATGCAGTCAAGAGGTCCAAGGTTTAGATGCAGAAAGATGCAATGGTAGGAAAATTGAGCAGCATGAGGATACTGAGCAACTTATGTATGACAAATAAACAAGAAAGTGAAAAAAACTCAGAAATAGGAGATAAGTGCAAGGAAGACCGGCATCACAATTTTAGACCTGATAGGAAATCATAAAGAACCTGACTGCAGACAATGCCATTTCTTAAGGAGACGGGAAGAACAAGTAAGCTAAGAATACACTTAAAACATAATATATGGCACTGGGTTCAATGCAGAACTTCAGACATTTAACACTACATATGCTATTTTTTCTTATTTTTATTTCTCTTTTTCCTTCTGCTCCTTCACTCTCTAGAGCAGGGTTCTCAAACTTCACCTGAAAGACTTGTTAAAACAGCTTATTAGGCCACACTCCCGTTTCTGATTTAGTAGGTCTCAGGTGAAGCTCAAGAATATGCTTTTCGATTTTTTTTACTGAATTAAATTTAATGCAGTGACATTGGTTAATACATTATATAGATCCCTGTTTCAAGTGTACAATTATGTGATACATTACCTGTATGCTCATCCCCCAAAATCTAGTCTGCTTCAGTCACCATATTTCCCCCTTTACCTTTTTTGCCCCCTCGCCCTTTCCTCTGGTAACCGCCATACTGTTGTCTGTATGAGTTTACTTTGTTGCTTTCTGTTTTATATCCCACACTAGAGGCCCGGTGCACAAAAATTTGTGCACTTGGGATGGGGGTGTCCCTCAGCCCAGCCTGTGCCCTCTTGCAGTCTGGGGACCCTCGGAAGATGACCACCTGCTGGCTTAGGCCCGTTCCCCAGGGAACTGGGCCTAAGCTGGCAATCAGACATCCCTCTGGCAGCCCAGGAGCCCTCGGGGGATATCTACTTGCCAGCGGGGAGCAAGCCTAAACTGCAGTCTGACATCCCTAGTGCTGCTGAGGAGGCAGGAGAGTCTCCCACCACCACTGCTGTACTGGCAACCATCAGCCTGGCTTGTGGCTGAGCAGAGCTCCGCCTGTGGGAGTGCACTGACCACCAGAGGGCAGCTCCTGCATTGAGCGTCTGCCCCCTAGTGGTCAGTGTGTGTCACAGTTACCAATCATTCCCAGTCGTTCTGATGTTACTCAATTTG